CTGCCATATCCATAGGTCTCAGCACCTCACTGAACCCGTAGCTTGTGTAACGGACAGGCTCAACTGATAGTGGCAGCGGTAACCATGCCTGAGACAAGCATACCCAAGAATAGTCCAAGCTGGTTTGTCTTGCTCTTTTATTCATCAAGGCAGTAAACACACAGTTTAATGCAAGAGGAAAGCATGGGGAACTTGGAAGTGACATTAAACTTAGGAGTTAAAGAGGAACTTTACCCTTATCTTTAAAATAACAACAAAGCCACTTTTATAAATGTTTAGTAATGATAATCTATAAACACATACTTCTAGATAATTGCAAGCTTTATATTCTTTACATACCTTATTTCTCTTTTCTTCCCCAGTCTTGTGACAGTAGCCATTTTTATTAACGGCATATAAATGTATCTCCCTTCACTTTCCGGAACTCTGGCACATGTGACTAGGACATGTGACCATGCACATCATCTCAGGGGAGGAAAATGCCTTTCCCTGAGATCTCATGAGAATACAGATGAGATTTCCCAGCAATGCTCTGCTGATGTAACCTTCCCAGGATGCAATGCGCATTACATTATTTGTGCCAAAGTGGACCCGGAAGTGAATGAACTCTATTTGTAAGTAAAGGAAAAACATGTTTGTTTAATTAATGAATGTAATATAATTTAAAATCCGTATGCAGAGTTGCATGCTGATGTGATTTTTTTATTTTTAGTAAAAGGGGGTAAAGGTCCATTTAAGTACCTTACCTATAAAAAAGAAATGTATCACTCAAATGTAGATCCTCAAATCATCTCTGAATTGGTTCTTAGACTGTACTTCCTATTGGAGGGTGGCTACTTTTGTTCCCTATATTCCCTGTGTGTGTTGGAATGTGCCCACCCCTCCAAGCTCAAACCTGTGATGGACTACAGTCTCACCTTAAAGTCCATTTCCACCTTTTGTAAGTGATTAGTATTTATTGTGGTAATGAAGAGGTGCAGTGATGATGTATTTGTGTGCACATTTTCATGACTAAAATTGCAGGTTTTCTTAATTTTTTACGAACTTTTTATTAGGCCCTAATCCTACAAATTAAATAATTTCTCCATAGGAAACTCAGTGTGACACCGGGGTCAGATTGAAAAGCAGAATGTAAACAGCTGCCCCTCTCCCTGTGATTCTGTCTTTGCACACAAAAAACTGTCCAGGGGGGGTTGCCACTATGAACATTAATGAATGGGGGGTGGAGAGCTCAGTTGTAATATACACACATTGTTTGCACAGCACAAAGGCAGCCATTTCTATGAGAATATGAAAAGGAAAGCTAACAAAAAGTGTAAGTTTCTGTGTTCATATACAGCAACGGCATATGCCTGCTTCATGTTCACTCAGTGTAGATTACTGGTATATGTTTAATAAAAAAAACATTTGCAAAGGTGGAAATGGGCTTGACGTTTACTACTTTGTATTGAGATTGTAGTCCATCACAGGAGGGAGCTTGGAGCGTTGGCTACTTTACAACACACACAACACACTTTTGTTTCCATGGGGAACAAAAGTAGCCACCCTCCAGAAGGAAGAACAGTGTCAGCACCAATTCAGAGATGATTTGAGGATCTACAGCCGAGTGATGCACAAATAAGCTACATTTCTGTTAATAGTTAAGGTACTTAACTATTAACAAAAATTACTCTGGGACTGTCAAGGTGCTTTACATAATGTTTCCGCACCAGAGCATCTACTTGATTGCTAAGTTATACTGTCTGTGTCCTATTTTGTTGGCCTATTCCACTGCCCCATCAATAAAGAATATTTGAAGATGAAGTCCTGTAAACCAAAGGTGATATAAATCTACTTTGTGAGCACCAAATGCTTTTGGAACTCCAGATTTTACTTGGTAAAAGTAGCAGCGCCATCATCACTGTGCTGTACATAGACTGTACAGAAAGCAGAGAGGGACCCAGCAGAACCACCCACTAGAGGCTTCCTGCAGAAAACTACAGAAAGGAAGCCGATACAAGACCATACACCCTGCACAGGTTGAGAGAGAGTGCAGAATATGCAGAATATAAGCATGCAATAGGAGCAACTTCAGTGGGACTTTAAAACAAGTGATATTTAAGAGAGTCAATATGATACTGTGATTATGTGTATGGCGGATGTTTGTGGTCCAGACTGTTCATGGTGAATTTCAGAGGTGACAACCTTGTAATTTCTAAAGGGGTGGTTTAGCTGTGTTTTTGTTTTAACATTTTCTGTTGTTGCTAATTAAATCAAGATAATTGTTACATAAGATAATCCACAAGTGGCCCTGTGTAGCTCCTGCAGGGTTCACTTTTAGATGCATAGAATCTTTTTTTGACCTGTACAGTGTGTGTCATAAGACACTTCATGTGTGTGTTGCTGCATCAGACCAGTGTAATGAAAGTGCCCTACTAGCCACAACAGTAAGTTAAAGTGACACAAAACCCAAAAATTAAATAATAAAAAGATCTACAATATAATCATTTAATATTGAGCTAAGTCAGTTTTTCATTGTTTGCCCTTAAATGCTCCAAAAAACAATTTATTTTATCCATTTGCATAACTTCCTGCCAGAGGGTGGCTACTTTTCTTCTCCATGGTCCATATGGGAGCTGAAAAGTAGCCACCCTCTGTGCTGGCTCCCGCTGAGAACTGCAATGAGACGTGAGGATGTTTCAAGCGTCCTCATGTCTCCTCTTCTGACTCCTCTCTCCTCCCTAAAATCCCTCCTGTAAATATATTCAGTATAAATATGTATATACATATAAAAATAAATAGATTGATTTTTGATAAATAATACTTATTAAAGGAGAACTATGGCGTCAGTGTTTTTCCCCACAGTTCTCCTTAGGGTAACAGGAGGACAGAAACTAGTGTCCTCCCGTTACCCTAAGCTCAGTATACCGCGAGCTACAGCTCGCGGGAAACTGAGACGCCGCAGCCGGAGCGGATCCCGACGTAGATGACGGGATCCGCCCAGCTGCGTGAGTGACAGCTGGCTCTGCCTATCTAGAGGCAGAGCCAGCTGTACCCGCCCCTCCCCCGTCCGTTCCGCCAGTCAGCGCTGGCAGATCGGAGCGGGGAGAGGGGAATCCAGCCCCCCCCTGTCACGGCAGAGAGCCATGACAGGATCGAGAGGCGAGCAAACCCGGTATGTGTTCGCTCACCTCCCGATCTACTGAGCCGACCTGTGACAGTCTCATTGTCACAGGTCGGCTAGAACTATGAGGTGAGTGAAAAGCACTCACCTCATAGTTCTCCTTTAAAATACAAAGGACTGGATATTTCTTCTGCTAGATAGAATTGAATGATGTGTTCATAGCTGCATTGCTGTAAGCAAGATGCCGTGCACTTATTAGCAGCATGGATAGAGTGAGGAGGAGAGAAGGGGAAGGAACGGTGGCTGAATTGACACAGGCACAGTGGGAACACTTTGCGCTGTGCTTCTAGGAAATGTAGTGAAGGAGAGCGGCCCGCTCTCCCAGAATGCCCAGCAATTTTAAAAATGAGAAAATTGTAAATGTAACATTTTAAAATAGAAAGGAAAGGGGGATTGTGTTAAAGCGATATAAGCAGAGCACCTTTAATGCATAACATTTTTGAGTTTTGTGTCACCTTAAGAAGACCTGCAAAGTTGCAAAGAGAGTCTGGCCACAACTGCTCTAATAACGTATTATATCTCCTTTCCACTTTTGCAATCTACCCCTACCCCGACAAACTACATACAGTATATTTATTCGTGTACAGGCTTTGTGAAAGTAAAACTCCCAGCATGCACACTTGGACTACTTTACTTAAATATTGTATATTTGACTGAGATTCCAAAGGCAGGTGGTTATAAAAGCTACTGAACTTTGGTCGGATACATATATTATGAGGTACAGAGAGCATCAACTGCAACAACTAAAATCACCCAGGAGCAGCACATAATAACATCACCAATGACTGCAGAAATACTTAAGGAAATGAAGGCCAGAGATTGGACAAGCTACAGGTGTGGTTGGAGACTGGTGACATACTGCAGAAGACAGTGAGATACTGGGGACCTGTTACATGAGACTAGTAGAGATGACTGTTTGTACCCCAAGAAAGCAATGCTCCCACTCCCACTCCCACTACAGATTGTTAGAGTCCAAGGCCTGCATAACAAGTACCAAAGGGCCACATGTGGATGTTGACCCACAGGTTTGACAGGAGCATGCTATATAATATGGTATGCCAAGCACAAGCCAGTAAAGGCAAAATGGGTAACAGCCTGGTGATTTTGATGAACATATATTTAGGCTTTTTTTTGGTAAATATGTTCTGGTATGTTTTACAGTCACAATGCATACACTCTGTGAACTAAGTGACTGTCAGGTTTGCATCACAACTTTTTCCCAATTAACTTTATTATTTTTTCTGGGTTTTGTACCAGTGCAGGCCAATCACAGGAGAGCAAGAGGTGGGAACAGCTGAGGTGACTGTGAGGTGAGCCAAGCTGAGTAAAAATGTCTTCACAGTTCTGCTTTGTGAAAGCTGTTACAAACATCAGGATTAGAAGCCTTTCATCTCATGAGTGAACCCCTGGGCTTGGGCGGTGCTTAGGGGAGTACCATGTGCTGTTGTTGGTCCTCATGATGCCATTTAAGATGGAAATAGAAGCACCTGGTGGAAATCGGGGATGACTCTAAAGTAAACCAAGGTGATCTACCATGCCACAACAAGACCTGCTAAACCTAAAACTCCTCTAAAAAAGGACAATATTTGACTACTTTGCTTCAGTAAATATAAGATGTTGGCAAAAACAGCCCCTGCATGTATCTTTGTTTTAACATTACTTTGTCATAAAAGAACTCTGTGTGGAATTCATGGGACTGTTTCCCAGAAGTAGGACGGCTGGTGCTAAATAAAGTCCACTGGAAAAGTGAGTGGCCCTGATATTGCGGCCTGTGAATGTCACACTACCATCATTGAACCCAGGGCCGTAGCTACCATGAGGCGGGTGAGGTACTCACCTCAGGAGCAGATGAGAGCGGGTGCAGCCAAGGCCGCCCTGGCTGCACTCCCTTGCCCCTGTTGCCATGGCGAGCACAGGGCGCCATGGCAACGGGTGCCAGACGGCCACTACAGCCGCAGCTCCGCAGGGAAAAGAGGGGTGGCACAGGCTCCAGCTTCTCCTCGGATCCCCGCTGCTTTTCACTGCTTGTATGGGCAGAGGCAGCGGAGATCTGAGGAGATATCGAGTGCTGCAGCCAGCAGGGGAGGGGGGAGGAAGCTGTCATCCAGGATGGATGAGCAGTGAGGAGAGAGAGAGAGGGCTGGCTCTTTCTCTACTCACCACTCAGCCATCCTGAAGATACAGCACTCCCTCCTCTGCCCACCCCCAAACCGGCTTCAGCGCTCCCTCTTCGACCCCCACAGGCCCCCATAGTACTATGTGTCCCCACTTATGAATGAACAGGAAGTGCTTTACATCCCTTCCTGTTCATTCATGAGTTTCTCTATGGGTGGAAGCACTCACTATAGAGGCTTCTACCCATTGATAACTGGATGATAGTAAATATTTTACCATCACCAGTTTCTGAGTGAATGGGAAGCCTCTGTACTGAGTGTTCTCCATTCATTTAGAACAGATGCTGCAGAAGAAGAGATTGAGGACTCTGTGTCTTTTTCTATTTCAAAAGGGAAATGTCAGGGGTCTTTTTAGACCCCTGATATTTCCCTCAAGCCTCCCCCCCACACACACAAAAATATTTTTTAAAAACAACACCCATCCCCCCACACACACACACTCATGCACACAGATTCATGTCCAAAGTAAAAAAATTTGGTTCGGACGAAATGAACGGAAACTAAAAATGTTTTTAGTTTCGTCAATCAAAACAAATTTTTATGCTATTTTGGATTTGGCCACCAGCGCATTCTGTGCATGAGCCTGCCTTCCTGGCGTGCACGGCGTTGGGTGGCATCACGCGTCTGTTCTTGCCACGGGTGCAAAAGGAGCTAGCTAGGGCTACGATTGAACCCACAGGGGGTGATTTACTAACCTAAACACACGCACGCACCAGGTGCGTGTGATTTTCACACAGCAAAACTTATTTATCAACCAAAAAGTCTCTAAAAGCATATTTCCACTAATGCCATATATGGAAAAATCATGCACATGATGCATATATAATGCTGCTTCACAGTTTAGACAAAAATGGTTAGCTCATGCATTTACATTCCTGCATTCATCAACGCAAGCAACACAATGTAGAGCTAATTTACACAACATCACCTTGCAATTCATGCAGGGCTTTGCACAACACACCTGCTGGGTGTGTACACACAACAAAGGTGTCTAGATTCCACCAATAGATCATGCTGGGAGGGAACACACTACAGAGGTGTATACTTGTTCGTGGCGTGTTTATAAGGTTAGTAAATCAACCCCACAATGTCTGTAAGAGCCTGTGAGTGACAGAGAACCTGAATGGAGAAAGACACAGTGAGCAGGATGGGAGATGAAGAGGACAGCTGTGAGAAGCAAGTGGTGAGTAATTTCCTGGGTTTTTGGGAGTGCCCCTTAGAGTGCTTTCCCTGGGCAGCATTTGACTCTATTAGTTCATTCACTACAGTTACAGATACAATATTTACTACCACGCTGTATATATTTAAAACAAAACAAACAAGGTTTGTTAGTTTTGTAGCAATCTGTTTGTAATATTGGTATACCAAATCGTCTGCTTCTACCTGTGAAACTGATTATTACAATTGAGTCACAGCTGTAAAAATAAGAAAAATGCTTTATCAAAACCTCATTGTATTGAGTCAAGCAGCTGTGCTTGTTAACGATTTGCATGCAGAGCTTGGATCATGGTCCCAAAATAATTCCCTTAACCTGCTCCAGGGTACAGTTGGGCACTTTTATGGGCACCATTATGCAGAAGGGGTGAACAGGGAGGTAGTGTACTAAGGCTGCCACTGCCTGCATTTGGACGTGTGATAATAATCAAATAGTCCACAGCATGGGATACATGGAGACATGTCACTGCCCTGATGTCTTGCTAAATATGGAAACAGCACCTCCCTACTCACTCCCTATGCAAAACACTAGTACAATGTGGGTTGGGGTGAAATGCTTAGAACTAGCCCAGATCCCCGAATCGCAGGGATCTATTACCTATTCCGCTGATGCTTGTACTAATTGTGATGCTTGCCAGTTTACATGGTTATACAGTGTACTGTATATCATTTTTCTTTCTTTTTCATGGTCAAAACAAAATAGTGTTAATATTAAAATATTAGTTTTGTCATAAAATATTTTTGTATTTTCACATCCAACCAACTAGTGAAGCTTTCTGCTCCTTTTCACATGTTTTTCAGTTTCTCCTTACCTCTTTTTAAAAAAAAAAAAACTTTCAAAGTTCAAGTGAATACTTTATTGCAGTGACACCCCTTCTCTCTGCCTCCCTCTATATGCCTTGGTTTTAGACAGAGAACACAGCAGATGTAGGAATTGAAGAGTCTCGCCAATAAAATAATCCAGATACAGCTTTATTTCATTAGGGTCAGGGGGCATTCAGGTAGAGTACCAAATGCATTTCCGGGCCCCAAAACACACCCCCTTTATCAGGGCATAATGAACAAAATCATGGATGTGGACTACAATCCCAGTAACTTGAAAGTTGTTTTGATTTGTGATGTGAGTACTTCAGGCTTGTCAGCAACCGGTTTGGCAGAGGTTGCATGATGATGCATGTTTCCATTACAAAATGTACTGATGGCTACCATGTGTGCAGAGGGTTAACTAGTCAGTTGACGTGCCACAGTGATAATCACTCTGTGTGTTGATGATTAGAGTGTTGTCCCATGAGCTGGAAAATCTCTGCATAGGGTGAGGCAGAGAGTGTGATGACTGAATCATTGAAAACGTTCAGTTATCTATATCATATAAATAATATTTTAGGAACTATGTCATAGGATGAAATATTGTCTGCAATTCTCCATTTCTGCGTTTCTGCCTTACACACACACACACACACACACACGGTATTGCCAAAAGTATTTGGACGCCTGCCTTTGCATGCACATGGCATACCAGTCCGTATTGTTCAATATTGAGTTGGCCCACACTTTGCTGCTATAACAGCTTCAACTCTTCTGGGAAGTCTGTCCACAAGGTTTAGGAGTGTGTCTATGGGAATGTTTGACAATTCTTCCAGAAGCGCATTTGTGAGGTCAGGCACTGATGTTGGACGAGAAGGCCTGGCACGCAGTCTCTGCTATAAATTATCCTAAAGGTGTTCTATCGGGTTGAGGTCAAGACTCTGTGCAGGCTAGTCAAGTTCCTCCACCCTGAACTCGCTGATTCATGTCTTTATGGACCTTGCTTTGTGCACTGGTGCGCAGTCATGTTGGAACAGGAAGGGGCCTTCCCCAAACTGTTCCCACAAAGTTGGGTGCATGAAATTGTCCATAATGTCTTGGTATGCTGATGCCTTAAGAGTTCCCTTCACTGGAACTAAGGGGCCAAGCCCAACCCCTGAAAAACAACCCTACAGGTGGAACTCGAAAAATTAGAATATCATGCAAAAGTTCATTTATTTCACTAATGCAACTTAGCCGTCTACCAGGAGATTTTGGAGCACTTCATGCTTTCTTGCGCAGGCGAGCTCTATGGGGATGCTGACTTCATTTTCCAGCAGGACTTGGCACCATTCACATCCAACCAACTAGTGAAGCTTTCTGCTCCTTTTCACATGTTTTTCAGTTTCTCCTTACCTCTTTTTAAAAAAAAAAAAACTTTCAAAGTTCAAGTGAATACTTTATTGCAGTGACACCCCTTCTCTCTGCCTCCCTCTATATGCCTTGGTTTTAGACAGAGAACACAGCAGATGTAGGAATTGAAGAGTCTCGCCAATAAAATAATCCAGATACAGCTTTATTTCATTAGGGTCAGGGGGCATTCAGGTAGAGTACCAAATGCATTTCCGGGCCCCAAAACACACCCCCTTTATCAGGGCATAATGAACAAAATCATGGATGTGGACTACAATCCCAGTAACTTGAAAGTTGTTTTGATTTGTGATGTGAGTACTTCAGGCTTGTCAGCAACCGGTTTGGCAGAGGTTGCATGATGATGCATGTTTCCATTACAAAATGTACTGATGGCTACCATGTGTGCAGAGGGTTAACTAGTCAGTTGACGTGCCACAGTGATAATCACTCTGTGTGTTGATGATTAGAGTGTTGTCCCATGAGCTGGAAAATCTCTGCATAGGGTGAGGCAGAGAGTGTGATGACTGAATCATTGAAAACGTTCAGTTATCTATATCATATAAATAATATTTTAGGAACTATGTCATAGGATGAAATATTGTCTGCAATTCTCCATTTCTGCATTTCTGCCTTACACACACACACACACACACACACGGTATTGCCAAAAGTATTTGGACGCCTGCCTTTGCATGCACATGGCATACCAGTCCGTATTGTTCAATATTGAGTTGGCCCACACTTTGCTGCTATAACAGCTTCAACTCTTCTGGGAAGTCTGTCCACAAGGTTTAGGAGTGTGTCTATGGGAATGTTTGACAATTCTTCCAGAAGCGCATTTGTGAGGTCAGGCACTGATGTTGGACGAGAAGGCCTGGCACGCAGTCTCTGCTATAAATTATCCTAAAGGTGTTCTATCGGGTTGAGGTCAAGACTCTGTGCAGGCTAGTCAAGTTCCTCCACCCTGAACTCGCTGATTCATGTCTTTATGGACCTTGCTTTGTGCACTGGTGCGCAGTCATGTTGGAACAGGAAGGGGCCTTCCCCAAACTGTTCCCACAAAGTTGGGTGCATGAAATTGTCCATAATGTCTTGGTATGCTGATGCCTTAAGAGTTCCCTTCACTGGAACTAAGGGGCCAAGCCCAACCCCTGAAAAACAACCCTACAGGTGGAACTCGAAAAATTAGAATATCATGCAAAAGTTCATTTATTTCACTAATGCAACTTAGCCGTCTACCAGGAGATTTTGGAGCACTTCATGCTTTCTTGCGCAGGCGAGCTCTATGGGGATGCTGACTTCATTTTCCAGCAGGACTTGGCACCTGCCCACACTGCCAAAAAGTTTCTGAGATTGTGGATTGGGGTTTTCATGAGCTGTAAGCCATAATCATCACAATTATGACAAATCACGGCTTGAACTATTTTGCTTTGCATGTAATGAGACTATCTCATATATTAGTTTCACCTTTTAAGTTGCATTA